TGACATGTCAGATAAGGGACTTATATCTAGAATTTATAAAATACTTGAGCACCAGAACAAGATAAAGGTAAATAATCCAATAGAAAATTAGGCACAGGATATGAACAGACACTTTACCAAGGAGGACATTCAGATGGCCAACAAGCACATGAAGAAATGTTCAAAATTCCTAGCTCTGGGAGAGATGCAAATCAAGACAACCGTGAGATATAATCTCACTCCAGTAAGACTAGCAAAATTTAACAGAACAGCAAGCAACAAATGCTGGCGAGGTTGTGGAGAGACTGGAACCCTTATATGATGTTGTTATTGCTGTTAGGTGCCGTCAAGTCAAGTTAGACTCACAGTGACCTTATGAACAATAGATCTGAACCCTTCCTACCCCAGTGCTATCCTTATAATCTCAGACACACTCAAGCCCATTTAAAAATACATAGCAAAGTTTTTCTAAAATGTTGTTAGAGAAATCTAATTGCAAATAAACCCAGCTTTTCTAGAAGGATCTTAGATTCCTAAACAACTTTTACATAGCTTCTATTTGAAGCCAATATGAGCAAACATACACATATTACTTAAAGTCAATACTTTGTTTATACGTGTTACTTAAATATTTGTGCCTCTACCTTCAACTTCACAACCTGCTCAACTAAATGCACTGTGAAATCTCAAAATAAGTCAAAAGCCCTGAAATCCTCGAAATGTTATGATGCCAACCCTGAGCATATAAGCTCAGTGCCGGACTTCTTCTGCTGACAAAAATTCAAACAGTGGCACAGCCAGCATTTGAATCTTAACTCTTCCTACAATAACTTTAAAAAAACAAAACAAAACAAAACCACAAAAACACAGGTTATTTTAAAGAAAAAAAGAAATGTCATTGTATCTTAGAAAACAAAAATCAAAAGAAAATTATAGGTTCTGAAGGGTTCCTTTCTAGCCTATACCTCTAAGTAATGAACAAACAACACAATGGAAGAAATGACAGCAAATAGAACCCAGTCTAAAAAAAAAAAAACAAAAAAACCCAAAAACAGCTGAGGTTGAAACATACATCCAAAAAGAAAAATACATTCATTTGAGAACTCAGACCTCAGCCAAAATTCTTTATGTAACATAATAAAAACCTGCATGAAAAAACTTCCTATATAAACAATCTCTGATAACACATTACAGTCCACTCTTTGTTAATACTTTATTATGCTATGATTATTACTGTTATTGTTGTTAAGTGCCATCGAGTTGTAGATGACTTATAGTGACCCTATGAATGAAATATCTGAACACTTGTATAACTTTCATTGTTTCTCCACGTTCATAGAGTTGTCGGAGGCAAGTTATTTCAGAAGTGGATGCCACTCCTGCTTCCAACCTTGTTTTAATCGGGTAGCTCCACCCAACACTGTCCACCATGTGTAACCATTATCGCATCTGTCACATCAGTGTCACAGTGTTTAGCATCACAGCAACCACGAGTTACCTCTGTACACAAATAGACCAGTATTTACATGTATAAAAATATATACTCAGTGTGTTATATTCAATGATTCTCATATTACCTGATATTGGGTCAAATCAGCTAAAGAAATCTGAGTGGATGATAACAATGATTCACATGTTTGAAGCCTTAATTTGGAAATGCACAAGGAATACTGATATGGTGATATTAGAATATCAAAACAGTATTATAGCTTTAGATATTTGCAAAAAAGACTGCAACAGGCAAGGACAAACCAGAAGGCAGAGTAGAGGTAGGTATTCCAGGACAGAGGCCACACCCACTTAAAGCACAGACCCAGAAATAACCTAACCCCTGCACACCCTGGACCAGCTGGTAGTACCTTTTCAGGGTTTCCAGTGGCTCCTTCCGGTCAATGACTCCAGTGTCGGGGTCCACAGTGGTCATAATGCACCTGTTGGATGACAAGCAAGACTCAGGCAGTGTGTCTGTGCTAAAAGCCCAAGGTCCTGCCAGACTCAGAGGTCGTATCTAGAAGGATCTTTACCTGGGGCAGGCCAAAACTTTCTTCAGTTCCACATTTCCAATCAGGAGTTCATCCCAGGTGTCCTAGGAGAAAAGGGAGAATTTCCTCTTGAATTAAGACTCCATTTATCTTCACAGAAGTTTATTCTTCAGCTGCTACTAATGACAGAGCTAGCATCGGCACCAGCAGATGCCAAAAAGGAGCCAAAGCAGGACTCAAAGAAGTCAGCGTGGTGGGGAAACCAGCGTCCACCACTCAGAACCCTGTATCTATCAGCACAGCAGGAAGAGAGCTCTGGAATGGGAGAGATTTGCCATGAGAAACATAAGCAAGCCAACCGCACAGATGCTTACTGACACACAATGAGGAATGTCATTTGCAGGACAAGAACACTCTTCCCTTTCAGCTACAAGGGGAGAAAAATTAAAATCTTAGCATTCTCCAGAGAAAGAAACAGCAGCCCTAAAAAGTCAGCTAGAAGGTTCCTATGTGAGCACTTATAAAGCCACACAGGGATGCCGTGCAAAAGGGGCCGACTCTCCACTGGCCATGTTTTCCACCCTCCAACAACAAGCTTGTCAGGGCTTGCCTTGACAATCTATTAATTCTCATCACTTTATTGGAAATGCTTTTACCATTCCACTTAATACCAAGAAATAGAAGCTAAGAGAAAAAGTACAAAGTTTTCCTGGGATCATACCAACAGGATACAAGGGAACGAGTTTCAAAATCATCTTTTTTATTCTGAAGGCAGGGTTTATTGTAATTGTAGGGTTTTATATACATACTGGTGGTGCATAATGTTATGCGTTATGTGCCATCGAGTCACCTGCGACTCATAAAAAGCCCATGTGCAGCAGCTCTGAAGCCTGCCCTGTACTGAGCCAGGCTCACTGACTCCGACACACGTACCCCCATTGCCCCAATTACTGTATCAATCCATCCCGTCCATGGTCTTCCTCTCCTGAGCTGTCCCTCCACCTTTCTAAGCATGATGTATTATCCTGCTAACCAAAAAGTTAAAGGTTCAATTCTAGCACCAGGTCCATTAATGAAATGTTTCCTTTTATAAACATGTACAGCTCTAGAAATCTGATAGGTCACCATGCATTTGAATCAATCAACTGCAGTGGGAAATATACATACATGAAATACCTAGCTCATTAACTATATATATTGTATACTACATAATAGGTAAAATGTCTATGTATTTTATATCAGTAGCAGCATAGTCCATATGAAGCTGTGTTGTTAACCCAGCGCCAACCTGGCAATTCAAATCCATCATCAAATCTTAGGGAGAAAGATGGGCAATCTCCCCCTCTGGGTGTCTAAGGCTTATCATCCAGATATCTTCTCTAGACAATGATTAACTGTTTATTTTGTGTTGAAGTAATTATTGTATTGATGAGAAAGGGTTAGAATGGGTTCCACCCTAGTAGAGGCTTATATAAGCCCATGGGATCTCAGTAGCACACAATTTTTCCTCTGGAAAAGCTCACTCACCTAGGACATCGCTTCCGGCTACACATCAGTCCCCACACCACCCCCCTGCATCATCCACAGTCACCATCTAGCTGTGCTGCAAGTGACAGTCTACAGGATCCTGGCCCATCACTCACTGGTTTCTCCAAAACCAGCCTGCATACCTACGGCCACGTGAGTCATTCCCCTGAAGGGTCTGAGTCTCTGGGAGACCTTCTAGCCAATCTGAACCCAAAGGCCAAAAAGGAATTGGGGAACGGAGCCTCAGACGGAGTTGTCCATGTTAGAAATTATAGATTCATACAGTTGGTTGAACATTTGGGACTATGCTGACCTGAGACTTCTAATAAATAGTCTGCTATTTTGGAAGCAGGAGTGGCATCCGCTTCCTAAACAACATGCACTTTGATAAATGTAGATTGTTACAGAAAGGCTTCAGGCCTTTTGTTCATAGGGTCACTATGAGTCATGCTCGACTTGAAGGCAATCAAGAACAATATTAATCTTAGCAGGATGAATTATGAAAAAATCTCCCACACGACCAACAGCCTCCGAAAGCCTGGTGGAGGCTCAGCAAGGAGCCAGTTGTGAATCAACAGCAATGAGGTGGGTGGAGTTTACATGTGTTTTACATATGAAGGCTGTTAGGGTGAGAGAGAACACAGGTAATATGGCAACAAGGTAAGCTGCAATGTCACTGCATGTGAAGAGGCCATGTCATCCCTTATCAGCTTTGCTTTGTGTCTGGAAAACATCACAGTATGAGGAGATCTCCATGTACGGAAGAGTTGCCTCACTTCACCAACCATAGGCAGCCACAGAAGAACTCAAGCCAGCAGAAAGGATTTTCATAGTTAACCCCTACCCCAAGGTGCACTGCCATCCCAGGCTGCTCTGTAGAGGAAAAATGGACAACCTCCTCCTGTGCAATTTACTGCCTCTAAAAAACCCGCTGCAGGGTCAGGTATGGGTCAGTTCCAACTTGAAGGCACTTAACAACAACAACAACAACAATCCCAAACCAATGTCTTTCTCTCCCTAAAGAAGACTCACTGCCTGGTTCTTAGACTGCCTCTTTCATTGCGATCCTATGAACAAAAGGCCTGAAGCCTTTCTAGAACTTCTCTTTCCTTTCAACAAACTTGCTTTCCTCACATATCTGGTGTTTGTGGCAGCCTCCCCACAAGATAACTTGTTAGTACTCTCTGAGGCATTCGAGGTCTCTTTCACACCAGTATTGAACCTAACAAAGGCTATATAAAGTATACACAATATCACTATAATTACTGTCACGGATAGGGCAGCTTTAGTGGCACAGTCCACAGTGAGGAGCGCTGCTAAACCAGCAGCTGGAATCGTCCAGTGCCACCTCAGGAAAAAAGATGAACAGTCTCTTCTGGAGCTATTTCAGTCCCTGGAAAACCAGCACATGGTTATCAAGAGTCAGAGCTGTAGGTTGTTTCGAGTTTATTTTATCTCCTTCTTGATCATATGATAGAATAGAAATGAGGACAGGGGTTATATAGGTCTAAGGTCTCTCTTGTCATTGTTGTGTTGTTGTTGTTAAGTGCCGTCGAGTTGTAGATGACTCATAGTGACCCTATGAATGAAAGACCTGAACACTTGCATAATGTTCATCATTTTTCCAAGTTCATAGTTTCCAGAGGCAAGCTGTTTCAGAAGTAGATACTACTCCTGCTTCCAAGCTTGTTCTAAACGGGGAGCTCCAGCAAACACTGTTCACCATGGGTAACCATTATCGTATTTGACTCATCAATGTCAGTGTTCAGCTTCACAGCAACCACAAGTTACCTCTGTACAACAAGTGGACAGACCAGGGCTATACCACTTAGAAGAATGTTTGACCAAAACCAATTAAAACCAGGCCTGAGGGCTGTAGTTAAAATCACCCATTTTGTTTCTCCTTTAAGTGGTCATACCTGTATCTACCGAAATCTGCTGATTTTTAAAGTCTGAGTTTTGCACATGTGGCCTCTGTGCAAGTCCTGGAGGCCCAACCAGCACCTCCCAAATGTTTCCGTATAGGGTAATAGGTAAGTACTCACTGCTAACGTTCATGTCTGATCTGCTGATGCATTCGGTGATGAGGGAGAAAGACCTGGTAATCTACTTATTCCCTCAGACTACAGCCTAGAAAACCCTGTAGGCAGTGTGACTTTCTCACATGGGTTTGCTATGACTTGAACTTCTAAGAACAGTAGCTAACAATCTGCGTGGAGATAAATTTCACATTCCAAACAACTAGTTTTAAAAGTCAAGGGCACAGTAAGTAACAAATGTGAATTGCACATCCTGGTCAAGATTTATTACACTACTGTTCAAACATTAAAACTGCAGGACAACAAATGCACGTGGCATGAACCCTGATGGGAGAGGACCAGATGCTGGCCACATTTCACCACACGAGGGCGCTGAAGGCACAGGAACGTGAGCTCATGAGGCAGCTAAATGTTCAGACCCCTCACATACACCCCCCCCCGAACATTCTCCCTTAGATTCCCTTTTTTATAAGCAATGATGAATTTAATATTTCAAACCTACATGTCTGCGGAACTACTGAATCATGACTAGGTTATAAACCACAGAAGTCTGATTAAAATAATCTGGTCTTAAACTATGATGCACCAAATCAATTTACAGCCTTCTAGGCAGAGCTGACTAAGAGCTGAGCTTCCAGAGCGTTTTCAGAGGCTGTAAATGACGTGGAATAAATTGCCCTCCATTTTCCCTGGGAGCAGCTAATGGATTTGAACTGCCAGTCTCTGATTTTTCAGTACAAGTTCCTACTCACTAGGCCAACAGAGTTCCCTACAAAACACATACGGTAAGTGCCTTGTTAAGAACGGTAAATTGTCCTAAATTCGCAAGACCTCCCTGCTGCCTCTCATGTGCCAGCTCCGGAATTAACCCACAGCTGACCAATTGATTGACTCACAGCGCTCGGACAGGACAGAGTGGAACTGCCCCGGTGGGGTTCTGAAGCCATAAATCTTTACAGAAGCACAATGACCCATCTTTCTCCCAGAGACCAGCTGAGAGGTTTAAGCCACCAACGTTTCAGCTGGCACAGAGTTCTTAACTGCTCTAACAATAAGGCTCCTCTCAGCTCGAATTATCTCCTAATATACAGATTGGAGCTCTAGTGGCCTCGTATACGGAGAATTAAATTGCTAACCCAAAAGCGTGCATCTTTGATGGTTTGAATCTACCAACCACTCAGAGGGAGAAAGATAGACAATGTCCGCTCCTGTGATTTACAGCTTCCAAAAGCCCCTTTGAGGGTCAGCTATGAGTCAGTTCCGTCTTGATGGCAATTTGAGTTTGGATATATTTATCACTTCATATTTACCAAAATTAAATTTGCACTTGGTAGATAAGAAACATTTTTAACCAGTTCAGCATGAAATAGATCTGTGTGTGTGTGTATATATAATATATA